TTCTCCTGAGATGGATCAGCAACATGGCCTTCAGGTGTAGCATCGTTGCCGACTAGTGCGATGGCCTACGACCGGCAGCATCCGGCGTAGTGCCCAATTGCGCCACAGATTTTGCACTTGGCGCTGCGTGCGGTACAAGTGAAAAATTGAGCTTCGTGTGAAGTACTTCCAAAGAGATATCAAGACGAGTTGTTCGCTAGTAATTGTCGGAAAGATTGCACCTTTGTCACCTCAGCTGAGTTGGTCGAAGAGAAATGTTTGGATTGAAGTAAAATTGCAGTTTTCATTCTGGATAACTAACAAGCTCGATCCCGCGTAAATGTGTACGCTTCTTCCTGCAACAGCGCCTCACGCATAGGATTGTCAGCAATTCCAGAAATCAGTTTTTCAGTGAACATACAACATTCGATCTTGTTTTGGAGAAATGAACGAATAGTCACACAGTCGTACAGCGCGACTCAAGCGTACAATGAAATCGTTCAGTGATCATCATTCATCATTATACACACTATCCGCAGGCGGAAAACACCGTAGCTATGGTGCCGCAATACAACAGAAAAGAAAAAGGGGAACAGTGGCACGCCAGCTAAGTCACCAGTAACGGATGGACAGCACTCCGGAGAGCTAACAGCCGGCAAATGTGCCGTAAAAGTCATATTATGTCTATTACTTGAGATCGTGTTTGGAGGCGGAGGGTAGGCGGCAGGAAGATAGATAAAGGAACTAATAACACAAACGCCATTGAGGTCTACACCTAGCCAGATCGAAAAGTGTATCCGACCAAATGTGTTCATGTCTTCCGGTCCCCAACTAGGGAGCCGACAGACCTCAACCCAGGCCAACTTCAAAGTAAGGGCCTTCATTCCTCTTGATCAAGTTATTGCTTGGTCACCGCTCCTCTTCTTCCATCCGCAACCACGGCGTGCAAACAACGCACGTCGCAGACGTCGGTGGGCTGGCATGCGCAGCATATGGCCCAGCCATCGGAGCCAGATGCATGAAATAACGGTGCTGACTAGTTTGATTCCTCTTCCTGTGCAATAAACGAGGCGTCGAACACGCGCACAACTCACGCGGTGTTTCCATCAGATATGAGCCAAACTGTGAAGGCACCGGTGGTCGAACCTTACTAGTCTCTTTATATCCGCGGATCTAAAGGGCCAAGTTTCGTAACCGTACAGTAGGGTCGAATGTACGGCTGCCCTTCTACCCATCAGGGAGAGAGTCATGTCGCGCCCGCACCATAGGTAACTAAGATTAGCAAAAGCACCTCGAGTTTTTGCAATACAGTTTGTGATCTCGTCTTTAATTTCAACGGCGTTGATATAACTACCTAGGTTGTTGAACTTCTGAAGGACTTCCAATTGATCCCCATCAAAGGTTAGCGCAGGAGACGGCCACTGCCAATCTTGAAGGAATGCTTTATACTTCGATGGTGCAAAGCAGAGCCTGAAACGGGTGACGGCCAGTGCTAATCTGTCCGGTGCCGCTTAGCACGTTTGGGAACTGTCACAGATGAGGGCAATATCGTAAGCATACTCCAAGTCAAGAAGCCATTCACCTAGGAGCATCTCCGCACCTTCTAAGTCGTGTACTATGAATGTGCCCTCCATGACTTCGTCACTAGCGAAAGTGAAAAGGAAAGGTGACAACAGCATCCTAGTCACACACCGCTGGAGATATTGAATAGCGGCGACAGCTTGACGTAAGCCCTAACTCTATCCGAGCTACACGAATAAAGCGCCAGCATAATAATTACATACTTTTCTGGCACACATTTCCTTAGCAGACAGCCCGAAAGAGCACATCGATCCACTGAATTGAAGACATCTTTGATGTCGAGGAACACAACGGTGGGCAAACAATATATGTGACGGTGCTCCAACAACTGACGAAATGTGAATACGTGGTCGATGCATCCCCGACCTTAACGATATCCGGCTTGCTGCTCACGAATTTGGCTTTCACGAGTGCCAGTCAGTATATGAAGGATTACAGAGGATAGTAATTTGGATACAATGGGGACCAGACTGATTCGCTTACTGTGGTCGCATTCTGAACGCGAGCGTCCTCTGAAGATAGAGACAATAACGGAGCGGATCCAGTCGGTTAGGACAGTTTCCTGCTCCCACAGTTTCACTACTAATTCGTCAATAACAGCAGGGCCCCCGAATATGAAGAGGGCTGGTTAAAGATCGTCTGGTCCCGCGACTTTATTCAACTGCAACATCCTGATTTTGTGTTCGACTTCTGAGCGAGAGGGCGAATCCAAAGGGACAATCCAGGGAGCGGAGCTATCAGTAGCTGGTGAGGAATCTACCGGTTCCGGTCGATTAAATGGCTTTTAAAATGCTCGGCTATACGCTCCAAACGTTTTGAAAAGTTGTGGTTAGGCTGTCCATCCACCTCACGTATAGTTTTAATAACACCAGGTCTCCTGCTGCGTGTTTTCCGTATCAGAAGGAACAGCTTCCGATGGTTGCTAAGCGCAGCGGCCGCTTCCATCTCTGACGTACGATGAGATCACCACGCTTCACGGTCTCTCTTCAGGCTAGCACGGAATTTTGCCCTGCTGTCTTTGCGAGTCTCCTTGTGTTCGCTTCCAGCTGGAATGTGCCGACGAACATCGATAAGTTCCAGAGAAGAGTCCCAATGTCTACGTTGGTTAGTGCATTTACCACATGATAATTTAACTACTCCTTGTATAGTCTGGGGTACATATGAGCAGTGACCTCCAAATGTATGCAGTGAGCGCTTGCTCAACTCGAACGTTCAAGGATTCACCCGTCTTCTGATGCATGCAGAAGAAAAGGTATCTTGCAGCAAACACATACATTTGGTGACCCCAGGTAGGATCAAGAGCACTGACAGCCCAAATTAACAAACTGTTTCTGCCCCTCCTCCGCTAGTAAGTGTCTAAGCATACACAAGTTGTTTTCCTCACTAAGAGCATTATGGAAATCACTGATTAAACCTAAGTAGTTTTGGAAGGAATTTTTCAACAAAGCCAGGTATATGACGTTGGTTTGCTATTGCAATCAGTCCAAAATGGAGACGGGGGCTGAATGGAAGCGTTCATACTTGAACTCACGACACCAAATGTAGTGTCAAGAAAGCAGCAAAAAGCGTAGGAAGTGTGCCGGTACTCAACCAAACGGTAACAGCCTCAGCATGCATAACTATTGGTTTTGACTGTCCGGAATTTTACACAGCCAATGGGAAAAAAGTGGCTGTGTACAAAGCAGCCGATGAAGTGAGTACAATATGTCGTAAGGAATCGGCCACAACAATGCGTACGCAAAGCGGTGGCTGGGCCCTAGCCCGCTCCACACTTGATGGTACTACTCATTCAGCCTAGCACAGTTATGAGAACTGTGCACCCAGTCTCCTGGAGGTAGAGTTTATCAACAGGTAGGTACCTTGTCAATGTTCACATCAAGCGCATCCACACTAGGGATATCAATCAATTGCCAACATTTGAAATTCAAGAAAATCAACACGCACACGTGCAGACCAAATGCAGTGATGTTTTAGCACACGTGCCACATTGAATGGAATTGAGTCGAAAGCAGCTTACTTACCAAGCTATACGCTGATGACGAGTACCTAACCATCTGACTCGCTGCCTCTTTGATATCGGCTACACGTGCGTAGACTGTTGGATTACCAGACCGGCTTGGCCGAGAGATTCGCGACCACATATGCTACAACACCGTGCACTAGAAGGCGATGGGCCAGACTCCATCGGCGTCTATCTCTTCGTCAACCGACGTTGATCTTCAATAGGCTGCGCTACATCCACGTGCAGCTGCACAACCGCATTCTTGATATGAGCGTCCCATTGGCTAAGATACACTACCATTATCACCCAACACTTAAATTACACATTTGTTTGTCGTAAAATCGCCGTGAACATTGTGCCAGAGACCACCAACCAAATGCACCAGTCCAGATCACCAACCACTCCACTCGTGTTCGAACTCTGTGTGACGTGTGCTGCTTCTGCTGTTATTATTAGCGCGCATACATCTACAGTTTCCAAACGTTATTATTCTGATAAGGCGTTGGTATGGCGCACTTTTGGCTCATCATCCTCTGATTTTCAAGTTACATTTATACTACCGACTACTGGCGCAGTAGTACCTGCTTTGCTTACTACATTCTAACGCAGTAAAATCACTGAACACTGTGGGGCGGACATCACGTAAAATGATGGTCTCCTAAAGCCTCGGGAATCGCAGGACAGAGCAAGACATCAGAAAATCGACAAAAGGTAGAGAGGGTAACGTTATGATCATTATTTTTATATATCCGTCAGCTCATTTGTATCCATTTTCAATTTTCCCTGTTTCTCTGTGGAAAAGGCCAGCTAAATCAATACCCCCATGTTATTAGATCAGAGGTGAGCCTCATTAATGAATGACTGGGATAGACAATAGGAGTAACAGACAGACACTGAAACGCCACTGATGGCGATAAGTGCCGAGATTCGAAAATTCACCGCAGACTAGTCCTAGAGAAATGAAAGAACAAGATTTGTCTACTATTTGGATCTACGATTTCATCACGTGCTGCTCCAAAATGTCATGAATCTAAGGAACATGTGAAGTTACGATGTGCACTGGGCCCCAGAAGTATGTGCTCCCAAACGGGTCGGGATGATCAACTTAGCGGTAAAGTGAATTATGAATATGAAACTACTACCACTCCTCTAAACGAAATAAACGAGCTCATTGAATATGAAGGAGAAATGCTTGAAATGCCCACGAAAAATGCGATAGTTGAATCCAAAGAAATGTCCATGTTGTAAGTGGTAAAATTCAAATCGACGGAGCCCCCGTGATTCCCAAGTCATAATATCAAGTTAGCCAACAAACAGCGGGAGAGTTTTGTCTCAAGTTAGCCGATTATGTGACAGCCCCAAATACGGTGAAAAGTTCAGACTCCTAGTGAAAAGCAGTAGAGACCCTTATAATCAGACCAAAACGCACCAGAACTATCGGGAATGGGAAATCGAGTCTTCTGGATAGATTCACTATAAGACCTAATAGGCACATACAGGGTACGAAAATGTAGAGGTTTCAAATGAATGCATCAAAACAACGAAATGGCAGAAAAAGCGCCATAAATGACCATTGAAAGGAACCCAATAAGAATGAACCATAAGTGGCATTGAAAGCGCACGTTCGTGAGTGCGTGCATGCATGAAGGTTTCTAACAGAGCTTTGGTTATCGAGTTTTTGCAAGGCAAATCAGTGCACAGACAGCCAGAGCAAGGCCAACACCAGAAAGCGGTAAAATATCCGCTGGGTCGTAACCAACTGAACCGAGCCTCAAAGCCACACCGGTCAATGTACTGGACGCACAAGTCTGAAACCAACCGGTCCAAAATGATCTTGATATTGCAATGGCCGAAGAAGCTTGCGAAGCGGAACTAGCCGTTTGAAGGAGCGGAGATTGTGAAGTACAAACGAAGTCCTCACTTGATGATGACAAACGCCTGCGAAGCGTTATCGATTCCATGGTGCGAAGAGAGGTTCTAGATGGCCAGTGGAGGAACGGGGAGCGTAAACCGCAAGTGCGAGTTCCCTGCTGTCCCACTGCACAAGCGTAAGCGAGATCAAGCGGTTTCTGATCAAGTAGCTGCAGCTGTATAACCCATATTTTATGCCCAGATAGCCTATCGAATCCACTCAACCATAGACAAAAGTTGGATGAAACATGCGTCAATTTCGCCGAACTGGTAATTGCTCGATGGAGTGTTGTACTATGCCCGACAAGCGCCGCACAGCACATTTGTGACGTCAACTGCATCCCGAATGAAATTACCAGACTCAGTATTGTTGAGGGACTACAGCTGCCATAAAAATAACATGAGTTAGGTGAAGTAATTACGATATCAGGAACGTAAGTCTGATAGAGGGGTGATTCTTGGAGGAAATTGCGGTAATCGGCCTGCATTTCTGTGGTGAGGTATTTCAACCACTGAGCGACCGGGTCTATGATGTGCAGCAGGGTGAACTGATGCAACTCCATAAAATCTGTTTTCACCATGCCTGTCAGACAAAATGGTACTCGATTAACGCAGGGCACGGACGTTCCGAGAATCGGATTTTCCGAAACGTATGCTTCAAACTTGTCGCTTGTTTGTAGGTAACAGTTACAGAATGCCACTCCCAAACAATATGTATGCCACTGAAGAGCGATATTAATCACTGGATGACGAACTCGGCTCGTAACAGCAGTTGGGAGGGCCATAGAGCCAAAGCAATTTTGACTAGGCACAAAACTATCTGATTCTATCCACCTTGAGAAGTAGGATACATAAGCACTGTAGGTCCATCTACTTCGCCCATTTCCAAATAACCACACTGTTTCGGAATTGTCCATATGTTCTAGATACCCATCACAGGGTTGTATTCTCCAACCATTCATCAGCCGTTGGATGGCGACATTAGTCATCGGGTGGCAAATCTGATTCGAAAAAGCGTCCGGACAGGTCAAAGCGTTAGGGACCAGCGTGGAAGGAAAGTGCTCTCGACTAGACTTGAGACAGATCGATTCCGACAGTTTTGTGAGATAAAAACCATAAGTCTGCACAATCCATGAGCCACATTCCATAAGAATGCACGCGCCCTGACCTGCAAACAACACGGCGGTTGAAGCGTGCTTGAGTGAATATGCGATTACTTTAATAGTCGAAATCTTGTCTCGACAGGTCGGTTTAAGCAACATAAGGTCAGCACCTTGTTCCCCTAGTTTGACACTAACCGCGCATAATGATGGGACAGCCCTTGGGAATCGACAGCGCATGGAGTCGGGTATGAGAGTGACACGTGGAGCGTTCCTCACCAGATATTCAACCAAGGACACAAAAGCAATGGTATCAGTTCTCCTATTTTCGCCTGTATAACACTCTTGAAGCGCCAGACAGTTGATCTGACGGGGACGCAGTGATCGAATCTCACGTGTTGCGGGCGAATAACGCCTACCAACAATTTTGTCCTCTAATTCAGTTGGCGTCTCACGTAAAAGGCGAAATATTTGACCAAAATGAGCTACCTTCCGTCCAGCAGCATCGGCGCCCTGGTGAAATGGACTGTAGCCACCCTGAGTCGACAGATAAGTGGCTATTGCATCGTTCAACTGGCACAATCGATTGTGGACTGCCCAGCCAGAAAGCCGATTATCTAGCCAACAAAACATATGGTTGTATTGAAGACATAAAGCTCCACAATCACCGGAATTAACTAGTGAGGGTTCCTTGAATAAAATGGTATCAAGGCAGGTATCTTCGCACAGATCTTTCCGTGTGGTTTTCGAAGAGATTTCCCCTTTCGGATATTTGGATTTACGTTGAACTGGAGCATAGGACGGGTTGCTACCGAGACACATACTTGCTGATGTATTTTCATCAGAAAAGAGAAGATCAGGCTCTTTATCAGTTGAAAATTTATCGTTTAGATGTAGTTCCGAATGGCCCGATTTATTACAACGCATATTGATGTAAGCTTGAATGAGAGAACCCAATAGCGATAAATCCCGTGGGTTCTTCAGGTTGTTCCTCCGCTCCTAAGACATGATGGATAATGCTTTGCTGCGTTCAGCAGAATAGGCGCGTCCCATCACGTGTAAAACACACAATGAATCAATCAACAAATCAATAGAGTTGCAGTGAAGTAAACTGATTTAAAATAGCATTGAGGAGAAAAAGGTCCCATACGACGATTCTGTTGATATTTTCACTCATCCCAACAAGTTGTGCGAATGACGGACGTTTGTTGATGACTTTGTGTGCGGGCACTCCGTAAATTATCTGTAGCGAGCGTCATAACGCCACATCCCAGGAAGGCGACCTAGACACTATTATATCCATCGACCTGAGCCCGAACGCTAACATAGCCACATTGGCGAGAAACGCCTGCGTGCGCCTGGCCCTCCTTGTGCGGGCGTTAGGATCAAGGCAGGTACAACGGACGACAGATGCTTTCGACTAAGGAGCGTTCTGTTTCTCGTGCCGGTAAGTGAAGCGGCACCCGGCACTTCAACGTTGGATTGACTCTTCTTGCATCTGCAAAGGAATGAAGCAAGAATAAGAGCAATCTTTGCACTTGTATGTGTCATTCCCTAGAGGAAAAGTTGTCCGCCTTTACAGCAGTTTGGTTCACCCGCTGTTGGAGTACAATATACTGATCCAGCCGCCGTACCTGAAGAAGAACGAGGCTCTGCTGGAAACCGTACAGCGCAGAGCCACTAAAAGACTGGAGAGAACAAGACACTTCACGTGCGAAGAGCGCCTTGTGACCCTTAAATTCTTCCAACTTAAATATCGTAGGCTTTGTGGTGATCGCATCCTAGCCCATTCTATCCTGACTAATAACAGGCACCCGAATACCGGCTTACCCGTTTGCGCACGCACAGACCATCTAAGTGGTCACTCGCTCAAACTCATGAATAATAGTAGTCGGCTTCGGTGACGAAAAACCTGCTTTAGTTTGCGTATCGTCTTCGTTTGGAACGCTCTATGTGAAACTCTTGTCTCAGTACATAAGTTTTCAAACAACGCCTAGATGCTTGATTCTTGCGTCGCTGGCCTTTCATGTTGAAAGACTTGGGTCATTCGCCAAGCTAGCTGGTATGGTCAACATTTTTGACACACTAGCTCGCGGAACACCCCTTATTTAGCTCTTGGCTAGCTTGCTGAACGACCTCCTTGTGGTGCCAGCTAGGTGGTTCGGGATTATCCCGTCACAGCAAATGGTTCGGCGGCAGTGTTCCAGGACGTGGTGGTGTTACATCCGTCACTGATATTGATTAGTTAGTTCAAGCACTTCGCTATCTTATTAGTTTTCCTCGCATTGACCAATCGATAGTTCTTCACTCATGCTTTAACTCGTGTGCCATGTGAGCCATCTCGCACTGCTTCGCCCGATACACTTTGTTTCGTACTGTGTCTTGTGCTTGCCTAACTGAGGTCTAGGGGCGTACTTTGTCTGAATTCGTTAATACGTATTAGATGGGTTTTCGCTTGGCAAGCGTTCTCCCTATAGAAAGCCACATATGTCCGTGGGAGAACGCTGTGATGTGGCGGGTGTGACTCGCCAATAAATAAAGTCACTGCCTCTTGCCTCTCTCTGAGCGGCATTGTAGTTCAAGGCTGTGTTGGGCCCCTGGTCCTTCACGGACCGAAAGGCGCATGAACCAACTATTTGATCATCGGATCCCAACGGCTTGCGACGCCCTCGCATCGCCCTGCTGCCTTGTAGGTTAAAACTTTGAGCAAACTCTCAGGGTAGGGCCCCCTAAAACAACCCTCTACTTCGGCCTGGGCAACTGGTAGTATCACGCCCACTGACGAACCATGGATGGATTACATTACTGCTTTCTCACTTGCTATGTCTACTAGCTTTACGGTCTCTGTTGCTCAAGATCCGCTCGCACATCGTCCCACGTCTCGTTCCTCAATCACACCTGTCTTCCCCGGGCACCGTCAACAACGGCTCACTGGTCGCATCTGACAGAGTTCTGAGTCAAACGTTTGGTGTTCTTTGCCAGGCGTTCACAACATAATCACACTCAACCAAAGCCCAAGCTTTTCTTCGCCAACCTTGCTTGGCTCAACTATTGACGGTGATTATGATTCGCAGTGGGCGCATATCAAAGATGCCTTAGTTTCTGCCAGTATCGACACTTGTGGAGTTGCCCGTCATGCACCGAAGCATTGGATTTCCGCCGTCTCCTTGTCCCTGATGGACAAATGCCGCTTGATCCCGTTGGATTCCAGGCACAGTGACGAACGTCGATCCCTGGATCGAGTGTTGCGCAGGAGCTTACAGAAGGAGCGTGAGACTTCGTGGTGTGAACATGCTAGAGAGATTGAGCTTGTTAATATCAACAGTAATAATAGAAGATTGTTCAACCTCATCCGAGTCAACGAAGGCTTCCGATCAGGAAGAAGCGAAACAATCTGCGAAGAAAATGTCTCCCTAATCATTAATCTTTAACGACGGTTGGAGCAATGGACCGAACAATTTCGCTCGCAGTTTCCCAGGAATTCAGCTCCGTTCAGCTTGGGGTGCGCACTCTTGATGAATGGAATATCCCAACTGATCCGCCTACTCATCAGGAAATCTGGTGGGAACTCACCAGCCCAAAGCCATATAAGGCACCCAGCCCTGATGGTCTACCTCCTGCTCTGTTTAAAGATGGGGGCTCTGTCGTGTAGCCCTCCGAGAAGAAAGAAGACTAAGCCGCGATCACGAAGTCATTTATTAAGATTACGCTCGAATATTAATGGAGTATATACACTACTTACAACACTACGTCTCAATGGCTCATCCCTGTTATTTGCATTGTGTCGCTGGCTCTCTTTCCATTGGTTTATGCTCGCCCGCCACGTTCACTCTGTCGAAAATCACCTTGACTTTCTTAGTGGATGTACGATTGGCGGGATTGGGCCCGCGCGCTTCTTCTCTCGGTCCAATGCCACAACCCTTGGCTCAAGAGTGCAAGAGTATGCGCTCCTTCGCCTGTTGGCGCCTGATTGGTCACTTGCACGTTCAGTGGATAGTTGCAGCATGGAGGCGATTACGCGCCAACCATTTCCGGAAAGCCTTATCAAATTTCCGGATTTGCTGACCAATCTGCTTCCCGCAACATGCTCACACCTTATCGGTCTGGCCTGTCGCGTTCAATCGGCATTACAGCATTTCCAATCACCAGCATTTCCAGCCCATCACATCCTTTCCTTTTTTGTTTTTCAGGACGGCGTCACAATATATTTCGTGGGCTTTTAATGTCCTGGGCTTGGGTAGCAGTATTCCTCTCCGGTTGTTGTTGCTGACCCTCTCTCTGTGGTGTCCACTTCTGACGCACTCTTCTCAGTTGCACCCGATTCCGTCGAATGACATGGCTCCCAACCTTGACTTCATAGCTCCTCTCTCCCTTACGGCCTTCGATCACTCCATTCCGCCAGCATCCACCGGATTCCGGTAATGGCTGCACCCATACTTCTCCTGTACCTAGTCTTGGGCGGCTTTTCTATCCGCGATCACAGTACTTTTTGCGTCAGTATTCTGTTCCATAGTCGGCCGTGTAGAACCTCGGACGGAGCTATCTCGGACTGCAGTAGAGTTGCAGTGGTCGGTATTAGTGTTCTTGTTCGGCGACTGCATAGACGCTATGCAGGACTCGCTCCGATATCAGCAGATGGTGTATTCCTTCGGTCCAGTAGCATTATGTACGGATCTTGCTGGGTCTCCTTGGCTTTTGTAAGCACTTTCTTCGCCTCCTTCACTGTGGACTTTGCCTTACTGTCTTATCGGCTATGGTATGGGCTGGTTGGCCGGTGACGAAAATCCCACTTCTTGCTGAATGCACGAAACTCTGCACTATTAAATTGCGACCCGTTGTCTGAAAGCACCACCTCGGGTATTCCAAGATGAGCGAAATGGCACCGCAACTGTTTCACCACGGATTGCGTACTAGTCGTCGTAAGCGCATCGATTTCGAAGTAGTCACTAAAATAATCTACCACAATCAAATAGTTCCTTCCATCGTGAGAAAAAATGTCTAGTGCAACCATCTGCCAGGGTCTGTCAGGAACGTCACGTTGCATCATCGGTTCTTTTGGCTGGCGTACGTCGTGTGCTCTGCATGCTATACAATTGGAGACGTAGTCACGTATTTGGCTGGTCATTCCGGGCCAGAACAACAGCTCTCTAACTCTTGTCACGCAGCTGTTGGTTCATAAATGTGCACAATGTACCACCTCCAGCATCGAACGCTGAAGTGCGTTTGGAAGCACTATCCTGTCGCCTTTGAATATTAATCCATCCTGAGTAATGAGTTCGTCACGGAAACGGAAAAATTGAGTCAACTCCTTTGATAAATTTTCCTTGTCTTCTGGCCATCCGTTCATGATCGTGTGCTTCAGTAGTTTACATAATTCGTCCTCCTCAGTGTATCGTTGAAGATGGTGCAAGCGTTCCTCAGTGACGGCGATCAGCTGTGTTGCATGGACAAAGTCTGGGTCTTCTTCCTTTCCTGGCGGGTCTGACAGGTACGCAGTTGACAGCGTGTCCGCAATGTACATCTGGGATCCTGACTGGTAGAAAATCTCTAGATCATACTTCTGCAGACGAATAAGCATCCTTTGCAGGTAGCGTGGAACAACATGGAGTGGCTTGCTGGCGATCGACACTAGGGGCTTGTGGTCGGCATAGGAGGTGGATTTGCGACCAAACCTATAGCCCTTGAAACGCCGCACGGCGTAAACCAATGCGAGTATTTCTTACTCTATTTGCGCGTAACGATGCTCGGTCTTTGCCAGCGTCCGGCTGCAAAAGTCGATAGGCTTACCGTTCTGCATGATTACGTCTCCGGTACCATACTGACTGATGTCACACTGGAGTTCTAGCGGAAGTGCTGGGTTATAGTAAGCGAGAACGGGGGCGTTCGTGATCAATTCCTTTATTTTCTGAAATGCCCTCTCCTGCTCCGCGTCCCAATGCCACTTCCCATTCTTATGCGTCAGCTTTCGAATCGGTACCGTTACATCCGCTAATCTGGGCAAGAAACGACTTAGATAATTCACAAACCCATTCAGCTTGCTAACGGCTTTCACGTCAGTAGGAGGAGGCATCTGTTTGATGGCC